TTATCAAGGCCTTTTGACTCTGATGTGGATAATTAAACGAGTGAGGGCAATTGAAGTACAGAATAATTTCACAAGGGTTATTGAGAATATCAACATTGTTTGTCCATTAATGCAATGCAGTACAGCAGATGTTTGTAGAATCTTATCTTGTTAGGAATGAGTACACTTAGCGATAGCTATCGTATCTGTCCTTACCCATTATTGTCCAGCCAATCAAAAAGTGATGTCCCATGTCGGACTACCGTTTGCGTTGGCTTGATCAAACATTGAGGATATTTCAACGAAGAGTTAGTCTGCTATTTCTTCTCTGCATCTCTTTTCAATTATTCGTTATAAATCTGTTTTTTAATCATCAGCAGAGCGTGGAATTATATTTGAGCCGTTGACCACATGTGTTAAATCATTTTGCGTGTTTGTATCTGACGTGTGATTATTTGCTTGTGAACTTGACATCTCTCCTGGATTGGCAGCCGTGAATTGAGATCATTGAAGCTCCACCAGTTCACACTCAATTTAAGATGTAGTCAGTCGAAGACACGCAGGCATGCTTAACCCTCACCCCAAACTGGTGACCTATCATAATGATCGCGTGCAACATCATCTGTGTATCTGATTGATCCATACAGAATGTGTTGTAGCGTACTTGCATCTTGGAAAATCAATTTGTAGTTTAGTTTTAAGAATTCCATCAAGTAAACGATGAAGTCATTACAATACTATTTTCCTAGTACTATCCATGTACAATATTAATGTTAATTTTTCTAGGCAGACTAGAGGAAGACTTTAAAAATATATCCTGGATTAATTTCTTTACAGTGCGTGGAAAGACTTGCTGATTGATTTATTCTCTGGACAAATTTATCATTACATTCTTGAATATTGAAATATTGTGTTGGAATATTCCATTTATTAAACTTGGGTGTTGTTTACATGCATTGTACGAAAGCTGGTTAATTTCGAGGTTAATTTGAATTTCAACATCTTTTTCGTGACGAATAAGATTTCATCGCTCTCGTAATAGGATTCAAGAATAACGTTAGCCTTCACGACAACGGATGAAGACAGTAGACCGAATCGTCTATTGTTAGATCATTCTTCATTTGTGCTGATTATAAAGAAGCCTAAAGGACAGTTATCGGCATCATTTCAGAAATTAACGAGACATTTTCTACTCTAGTTGTACTCGCAGCAGCTCATAAGGACTTTATTCCTCGTTTGATTCAAGTTTCTTGAAATATCAGATCCCATATACTGGATTTTGTTGTTTTTTTCTAAAGTGAAGAATAAATTAATTTGAATTTGTTCAGTTGGATGACAAATTCTGATTTCAGTGAACTAAATTGTGTTACGATTTTGTGATCGGTGTAATTAAACCCAAAGAAAAGGGGTTTTTTTTCAAGTTACGATTGTGAAAATCGTTAATCAACGCTTATTTCTTGTTTTAATCAGTTTAATCTTCAGATGTAGATCTGCTTGCTTGTATATTGTTTGTAAAGTAAATAGCATCATAATACTTGGAGGAACACACACATTACGATTTAAATTAATTGCGAAACTGAGCCCTAAGATTTGGAATTTGCGTATTGAAGAAACTCTGACAGTTGTTGCTATGGTAATGATCATTCCGTAGATAGGGAGCTGTCTGAAGACTGAGTAATGCCGTGTCTGCTTTCTGCGTCATAACTATTTATCACAGCACGAGTATAAAAAAGCACTTCTAATTCTACTACTTACCGTTTCTAATCTTCAATATTATCTGCATATATGAACTTGCTCAGTTAAAGACATCTGAAAAAAAAAAATGTGGTTTTTCAACTTTTTTTTTTTTTAATGGGGAGCGTGTTTTGACAGTGACAGTGACTAAATAATGTGCTAATGAATCCCGAGATTTGCTCAGAAATATATAATTGGTGTACGGATTTCTTAATAGGCATCGAGAATAATTGGACCTTTTTATAGTAATTATCAGTTATTGTGTTGGAACGTGCAGCTTGAAGAAGTAGAGAGAGTCTTGCTTATTTTGTGTCTAATCGCGTGTGAACAAATATGAGGAAAAATAGTGTGGTGGGGCAGGCACCCGTAGTAAAGAGGTCGGTTCGGCCAGCTAGGCCTAGGTCAAAGTCAGTTGGAACACCGTGAGTTATCTCTCTTAATAATATTCATGAAATGAATAATAAACTGCATTCCAAGATTTATTATCATTATAAGGATAAAATTGAATGCAAAACATAATATTATAATTTATTTTGAAAAAATATATATTTAATCTATATCATTTTTGTTAATACTGGTAAATATTTTGTAAAAAAAACAAGAAAACATTTCTATATTAACTTTTTATACAAGACAGTTATAAATGTTATTCATTTCATATTTTGAATGCCTAATTATTTTTTTTTTTTCAGTCAGTGGCATTCATTATGTCATACTTTTTCTATTACTTTTTTTAATTCCATAATTAAAGTAAATTGGCTTAGAATAATTTTTTTTTTGTATGACTGATATTCATATAATTATATCGTGTTTTCTAATAATTTGCTGCCTTTCAGAGCAACATAGTGTTTTCATTTACGCAAGACTTTTTTACCGAACCAATAATAATGATTTCAAACAAAAAGAAAATTTTATTTTTGACCAATTAAAAATGGAAATTTTAACAAAAATAAGATATGTGTACTTTCTTCCTAATTATATAAATTTAAAGCATTCAACCATCCCATTACTACACAGCTTACATTCAACAATAACATTTTATTTTTATTTTCTCCTTTGTTTGGACGTTTTTGGCAAAACTATTGGCTGAATAAAAACACAAAATTTTATTTTTATTTTTTATTCTGCCCTTCTCTTTTATGATCTTTAAAAAAATAAGTTTGCTAAACCAGGTATGAAAGAGGTCTCGCCTTTACAAAGAATCTACTGTAATTGTTTACTCCAATGTAATCACGATACTGCTACCGTTCTATGTGATGGAGATGTAACTGACATTGAACAATACTGCTTGAGTGACGTGAACAGTCCAATTCTGCGATTTGAGTCTAGCCAAGTGTTTGATTTGACAATTTGATTAATTTTTTTGGAGAATGCTATACATTTGTTGAGTAGTGTCGGAATATGAAAAATCCTAAAAATCAATTTTTAATATAATTTACTCAACTTGAAAGACATCCAATGTAGGGCAAACATTGTTTATATGTTGTTGAACAAAATTTCAGGAGAGGGAAAAAAAATACAACTTAGATTTCAGACTTTTTACATCAGATTTTGATTAAATAAACAACCTAATTTTAGGCTTCCAATTTAATTGTGTGGGGTTCAAATGAGTAATAAAAGTTGTTTGAGATCCGGTTGTGTGGGCGTTGAGATTACGATGTAAACAGTTGAAGATTGATAAATTTTTATTATTTATTTAATTATAAAAAAATAATATACTTTTGTTGGGAAATTTTGAGACTATAGCCAGTGGGATAAAATTGAAAAGAAACTAAAGTTTTTACTAAAAAAATTAGTTTCAGGTGTGCTAACATACAAAAGTAATTATTATCTTCATTTTAAATTTTAATTCTCTGGCGGGTTTGTATAATAAAATTCTTGACTGGACATACATTTTGTTTTCACTACTAATTAAACTTAAGGTTCATGAATAAACTACAATGTCCCATGCAATTTTGGCTTGTAAATTCGCAACCACAGGATATGGTTAAAGATAACAAAATTAATTCAATGATTTATTAAATAAATTATAAAATTGCTCTATTTCTTGCATTTATACTAGACTTTCAGGTATTTTCTTGGGATAAAAATATTTTGCAAAAAAAACAAAAACAAAGCTGACCTATATTTTAAAGATTTTGGATAGGTCAGACATGAGTAATACACCAGCCTTTGCATAACTCATACTTATTATTCATAATTTTGTAGTTTCATGTAATACTACAGTGTATTGTTACCTCTTGCATTACAATAGTCTTCTAATTAACTATAATCTAATTATCTGTCATCATACCACAGGTCTAATTTCATATAACATTACATAGGGATTCATATCATAATTGATTTGGCTTTTTTGGGAGCCATTTGTGTTGATACCATTTGCAAGATGTTAAATAGTAAATATTTTTTTATTTGCTAAGCCAACTGCCCTTTATCAATATCATGGATAGTCATACATAAGTGTTTGTATAGGTGAGTAAATAATTTTATCAGCTTCCAATTTGCCAATCACAGATTCTTTGCAAATAGACCACTGTAGGCCTATTATATTTTGTGTTTAGAAACATATTAGTTGACTGTAGGAACCACTGTGGTACTCAGTATTAAAACTATAGAAGCTTTCGTATCCAGGAGCCTAACTGGTAGATTGGCGAAACTGCCAACAGAGTGTAAGTTTGGTGGTTTAATTTTTAAAATCGTAAGTATATAGTTTAAATTTTTTTTTTTTGAATCGGAATTTATATAGTACATATCACAATCTGGAGAATATGCAAGGCGTTGGCATCATTATTCCCCTAGTCACTGAACACCGAGTTGAGAAACCAGCACATTTTGTATACACTTCCCACGGGCGGATCCAGAGATGATCGAAAGGGGGAGGCTGAAAGAAGGGCCGATTAACACAACACTACTGTAGGGGTCCGGGGGTTTGACCCCACAAAAGTTTTGTTTTCTAGACAACCAAAAATTACCTCTGGGGCATTTTGAGTGATCAATTATTTATTTTTTCTTCCTACTTTTTTTTTTTTTAACTTGTTAATAATCTTGACAAGAGTCCCTTCAGTAAATTTATGAGAACTCGTTGGCTTAGTAACACATGTTTTAAATTTCCAGAGTAAAGTCACTTGTGGGGATATTTATATTTTGACCAAAAAGCACTTATTCCGACCAAATATATGATTGAAATAGACAGTGATACATTGGATTCCTTTTCAGCGTATAGTTTTTTTTACTACTTGAAGCAGTTTTCAACATTCATTAATTATGCACTCTTTATTGGTTCGCAGGTGTGAGAGGCCGTTAAATGCGAAGGGATACATTGAAAGGTAAGCTTGTTTAATTTCGTTTACTTAACATTTCTTTAAAAATAAATTTTTAATATTTTTCTCTTCAATCAATTCATGATTTAATTTTTAGAATAGCTGGTTTTGTTGGTAAAACATTCAAAAGCCTTGATCTATTTTCTTAGCTAAGTTAACATTGACGGCTAAAGGAAGCTTACCGTCTTGATTTAATCTTTCAATATGGTGGTTGTGGGAGGATTGTTTCTATTAAATTTAAAACAAATTAAGATTCAGATTTATGAGTGTAGACAGATATAGATTAAAGAATATGCGGTGAGTGATTGTGTAGCTGAGCCATTTAAATGCACTCGGTAATCTGTAACATTTACATTTATAATGATCAGCAGTGGTATTAATTATGCAGTGTAACAGTCGTATTAACATTTTGGAATGCGCTACATTCTTTAAATTATATATTTTGGTATACTTTATTTAAAAAATTGATATACATGGTAGCCAGAGCTGAATTGTGTATGCATTTACAATAAATTTTCTAAAATTATACATTTAAAATACTCATAGGGAACAAGGATATAGAGAAATCCTTATATACTGTACTGTACTTTCAGTGTTAACACAAAAGTGAAGATCCTATAACAATGTTTGGCAATATTCACTTGTGTCAATGTATTGAAAAGGCACATGAGGATAGCTATGTATCTAGAAATATTGATATTTGGGGGCTATTGGGATGTGCAAAGTTTACGTGAAGGGAATCAACGATTAAGTGGGGGATGTGCTAGCTTAATAAGCTGGCAAAATAAGGTGATATGATCCTTGAGGTAATGTTTAACTACTTGAAGTCTTGAGTTATGTTTTTGCTTAGCAACTTTCCTGAGAAAGGGAACCTGTCATCAAACATTTGTTTCAATTTGGCAATAACCCTTAGGGGTCATCCTTTATTTTAATCATTTTCATGATATTACAAAACACATCCTTTTCTGTGACCCACTTCCTTCTGAAGGTGTACACATTGAAAATGAAATTTGTCATTTAGAATTCATCATTTTATCTATGTCATAATAGGGTACATATGCACACTTGTGAAAATAATGGATGGTCCCTTACTTAATTAGATGATCATTTTCAGTTTATTACTAGACAAAAACCTTATCAACATGCCACTTTCCAGTGGCGGATTTAGAGGGAGGGGTGTGCGCCCCCTCCCCCTCTATTTTTTGTAAAGTTTATCAGAAAATTACCAAGGTAAATAGTGAAAATCAATCAAATATAACATCTAATTATTAAAGGTGCTAAAGATTTAAGTGAGAATAACCCCTTTGCATCCCTACCAGAGGCTCTTTCCTGAGATTTCCACTCAGTTTGCACATCCACGCCCCCTCTTTCTTGCAAGGCTGGATCTGCCCCTGCTTTCAGAGGGTCTCATTCCTTCACTCTCTTGTGGGTGCCTCTCTGGCAGGTGCTAGCTATTTGGATTTCATCACTGTTTTCTTGTCTTCCTCTTTTTGGTTTTAATATTATAAATTACTAAAGAGTAAATTTTATTTCCTAAATGTAGGTTTGACCACAGACCATATAGGATCTGTGGTTGGACAGTTAATATTTTACTGACAAATTTACTGCCCTTGACTTCTGGTATAGCAGTCTCGTGCCAGTGTGTTATTTCAAAGTAAAGTTTAATGTTATTTACAGTGTTGATTCAACTGGTTGCCAATACAAGAGGCGATGTTTGTGTTCTCCCACATGTATATCATCAAGGGAACCCGCCTTCACGCATCACTTCATCTTTTGAATGAACCTCTGGAAGCCTTCACTTCATTACTTTGATGATTTCTTAATTAGACACTTGACCTGAATAATGCTTCAATTTCCCAATTTCCTGGCTGACATTCCCCTTGACTTGGAACATAAATCATCAGAAATAGAACCAGGTTTACCTTCTTTTTTTCCATTTAGAATTCTGTCCTTGTTAGGCAGTGTTTATATTGATTTCCTTCCGATGAGTCCCATATGAATGATTTGAAATCTGTAGTTGGCATTCTATGCATAGTGATGTAATGTTTGGTGTTTTTTAACAGTTTCCTTTTTAGTAAAACCAGTATGAAAAAAATAAATGCAGTTATAGTAAAAGATAATCATAGGCAGTATTTTTTGTTTTATGTATGGTGAGAACTATGAATAAACTCATGACATAAAGTTACGATTTATGACTATTGACGTGGGAACATGCAGTGGGAAAATGATATGAAATTGAGGGGGTGCGAGCTCGAGAATGAGACGATAAATGATTTATAACTGCTTGAGTGTATGTTTTTTTTTTTTTTTTTTTTTAGGAAGTTTCCAGTGGTGTATTTTAGGGTGTATGCGCATGCTTTTACGCCCGTCCTTAAATATGCCATGGTTTAAGGGTATGGCCGCCGCTATGAGCGTTGTAAAAATTATAAGCCTAGTTCTGTAGGCAAAAAAAGCCAAGCCAAATTATTAGAATATTATATTATTGTTATTACTTAAAATATTTTTCACCAAAAAAAATTCTTAAAATATAGTGTTGCCAGTGAGGTTTACTAAGGCAGGCTATAATGATACATAATAATCACATCATGTACCTTTTGAAACAGGTCTAAGAAAAGAATGACCATAAAAAAAGCATCAAAAAATATCTCTTAAAATATGACAGATAATTACTTTGTTTTCGCAGAAAGGAAGATTCTGTATAAATCGGTATACATCATTTTGTTAAAATATTGATCAAATTTTGCCAAATGTCTTCACATCCGCAGAATAATTCACTTTTATTCAAAGCATTTTAATTGACTTATTTAACGTCCTCTAAAATCAATAACGCTCTTCCTCTGATTTTACGAAGCCTGTTGATTGATTGAGATCAATGTTTTGTAATCCTTATAAAACAGTCGCAATTTTGCTACATTTATCACGTGAGAAGTACACAATCTTCAGCAAATAATTTCATGAAGTAAATATCGGTTTGACAGCTTCTGCGCGGTTAGGAAATTAGTAAAAATCGCTTTCATCCAAAATCGAAGATAATTTCTGCGAAAAAGGAAATTGAACAGGAGGTATACACATTATATATTTGATAGAAAAAGTGTAGTATATAAATGTCTTGAGTTGAAAAGAGAATTAATTTCAAAATAGTAATTTGTACTGTGAAGACGTATAATCCTTGATAACATCATATATTTTTTTCTATTTATGAAGCTGAATCATTGATTTATGAAAAACTAAATTTAATTGTACAAAAATAATGCTAGTTTGTTGAAATTGATTAAATTCTATTTGAATTTTTATAAAGTAAACTTTTTACTTGTAAAAACAATGATAAATATCTTACGATAATACTTGCAAAAATGGTAGTTGTTTGCATCAATTTGGAGGGTAGGCCAGCCTGGGTTTTTATAAAATCATTAGGTCGTTTATTGATTAGGTATGATAAGCAGCTTTTAGCAGTAATTCTCCTTCAAACATCTCATTTCCCAGTAAATGCCAATTTAACACTGATTTTTTTTCCCGATCAAACATCTTTTTTTCTTACTTCACCTTGTTATGATATTTACTTTCATTCAAGAGGGAAAATAGCTGAAAAATACTTTACGAATCTGTAATAAAATTGTCATACACAGATGGAAATAATTGGACGTGATTAAATGTGTAGAATTAAGTCATGGTTTGGTTGTTATGGCAACTTAATGAGCAACCTGTTCTCAATAGTCATTCCAGCAGTTGCACATGAAAGGAGATGCGACACTAAAATTATACATTTTAAATTTTACGAACAAATACGACCAAATGAATGTGATTGCCAATTATCAAAGAAATGAAGAAATAAGAGCAGCAGACTAGTTAAGCAGGGCATTGAATATGATTTTTTGCCCGGGGCGGGAACCTGAACGTTGAATACGGGTTAAGTTACATTGACATCTCATAGAGTAGCCGTGGAGAAACAAGAAGATATCGACTTTTCAGATATGAAGAAATTATTAGTCATATTTATCCAAGGTTACTATGGTTACAGCAGACTATTAGTTAATGGAACGGACGGAGAATTGATAAATCATGGTTTAGTATAAAAAACCGTGTTTGTAGTCACAATTATAAAAAGAAAATAGCCTTATTAACTTGACCCATGGAATTTCAAAGGGCATGAACGTTTTGAAGGAGGATTTTGTTAATGGTAGTTGACAGTATAAGATGAAAAAAGAAAGATGCATCTTTTAATAATCATTCTGAAAGATAAATCTGAGGCCTTGTAAGCCAATTAGAAATCAAGACGGCTAGTATTGTGGTAATGATGTATACTGAAGAAGTAGGCCTACCATTTAACCTTTTGAATTTTTGAAAATTTACCATTTTATGATTAAGTCTTCTATTAAAGACAGCAGAGATAAATTATGTCAGAAAAAAAAACAAATGCTGCCCTCAATTGTTCTGCTTTGTTATCATTTATCCTATCTGTCTGCTGCCCTCATAGATTTTGCTTGTCAGACTTTGAACCAATAACATGGCCGGTCTTTGACAACTTGGGTTTAATGGGAAGCAAATGTTTGTGTATAAGCAGTTAGTATTAGAGATTATTTTTGCAACACTCCTGGGGCAGAATTCAGTTTTTGAATGTAATAACAAATTCTTAGTGCACTATAAAATTCATGGAAAACTACTATATTGCTTTATAAAAAAAATTAATTGGTTAATAAACAGGTACTTTATTACATTGCTCTTAGTATAAAAGGCATGTGCCCCCGATTTTGCCACGAAATGCCATACAAATAATAAATGTCCTATAATATTAATAATGATAATAATAATAATAAACACTTTTTATAGCGATTTACTCTTATATTTGCCATGAAAGTTTTTTTACTGAGTAGATTGACATAAACCAATCTAACAAAATATATAAAAAAGGCTGAGGTAGAAGTAGGAATTCCTTCTATAACACTAATAACTTGAGTTTGAAGTGACAAGAAATGTTGGTATTTTTTTTCATGCATATAATCCAATATATAAAAATCTCATAATAATTTACTAATAAATATAAATATCAAATTATTATATTTATTCACAATAAGTACGGTAACCAGCAAATGATAAGAAGTTATCAATAAGAATTTTGTTTTACTATTTTATTTTTTTTCAGAGTAAAACTGATAATGCTGTATTTGATCAAATTTTTCTTACTAATATGGTCCCTGCAAAGTTGAGTTCAACGTTGAATATTTCCAGCTTTATAAACTATAATGAATTAAGCCTATTCCCTGCGTTGTATGTCAGCAAAACACATTTAGAAAAAAATTTATGCGATACCCGAGGTGTTAGCTATATATCTCGATTTTATCACCATGGATATATACATTAAAGACTGACACGCACATATTAATTTGTTACCGTATACTACAAAGTTAAACTACCATGCGCAAAATACTGTTAAGATTATCGTGGCACTTAAACGTGTCTTAGTTATCATAGTCATTTCCCGTATCTAGAGATATTTAATAGTTTAATAGTAATGTTCATGCATATCTCAGTAACTTGATTCATGCTTCCTCCATTTATGTCGGTATGTGCATTGAGATATTGAGATCTAAAGAGTTTACTATCTGTGTTTTGTGTTTTTTTTTGTTTTGGTACAATTCCTTCAACTGGTTTTGTTCTTATTTCTCGGTCGTCGTTTCTTGGTAGTGCTTTCCGAGTCGAGGCTTAAGGGCTTTCATTGATTTTATGCATAATTAACGTGCAAATTAAAAAACTCTAGATATCATTGATGCGTGTTGATGTGTCTCGCTGGAATTCACAAGCTAGCCCGGTAATATGATTTATAAATAAACTTGTGTTTTCAGGTACTGTATATGCTTTTCTTACAGTAAAATTTGGCATACCGTACCATATTTATTTCTATCTTGACATTTTAAAATATAAAATTGACAATGAAGAATGTAATAAATTTTAAATGAACTAGCAAATGGAAACTTCATATGAGATTTCAAGATTTGAAAAATACAGTATGTTATATGCATGTATTAATTTCACTTTTTATGTGCATAATTTACCACAATTTATCATTTAAAATTGCTAGCTTAAAATGATAAATTTCTTCGTTAAAATGCAGACATATTAATAGGTTTAATATCACTTGTGAACTGCTGTCTCGTGCAAATGATTCTGCGATCAGTATTTGAACGTATGCATGTAAGGATTTCATGCAGCGCGATCACACTTCAATCCTTTGTGTTCAAAATCTGTCGGTGTGATGATTATTGGTTAATGTGTGCGATTCATTGATATGGAATTGGCTATGCTGCAGGGAGAAGTACCATCTGTCTAGTATTTTAACAGGACCATGTTTTAATATAAACATAAAACTCCATCTTCTCTATTGGTATTTGAATAATTCAGGGTGAGATTATGATTTCTTAGCATAGCCCCTGGGTAAGATGATGACTTCTTAGCATAGCCCCTGGGTTAGTTAATATTCAAACACCAGTCTGGTGCCAAAGAAAATGCAATAAGTTATTATGATGCAAGTTGATTATCTATTTTTCTGGCAGTCAAAGCACATGCATAAACTATGTGTGTTAAAAATAATACATATTCCTAGCAAGGGTACCAGTTGCGAGGATGTGTGGGTGGGGACATTGGACAAGACGGACCCCATTAAAAGTAGGTTGTTAGACTAAAATATTAAATTGCTAATCCAACCAGATATATTGTGGCCTAATAGTTTCTACCATCATAAACTATAAAATATTTGACCCCACTGGAGGTTTTACTCCACTG